AAAACTGACGGCCTGTTGTTCCCTGAACACACAGCACTATTTAAAACTTCGTGCTTTCACTCTGATGAAACCTCTGCCTGGAATCATCCTCAGTTTCCTCACTAACTCCCATTCAATAAGTCACAGGTCAAATGTCATCTCCAGTGAGCCTTCTAGGAACCTCCAGATTGGGTGAGCTGACCTCACAGAACCCGGCAGCAACCGGGGCAATGGAAGGCGGAGGTAAGGGAGGTAGAGGAGGGTAAGGCATTGGATAAAAAGCAAGTGGTGTGGCCAGGCGCAATGGCTCATGCCTGTAATCTCAGCACTTTGGGAGGTGGGCGGATCACGAGGTCAAGAGATCGAGAGCATCCTGGCTAACACAGTGAAACCTCCATCTCTACTAAAAATACAAAAAATTAGCTGGGCGTGGTGGCACATGCCTGTAGTCCCAGCTACTTGGGAAGCTGAGGCAAGAGAACCCGGGAGGCGGAGGTTGCAGTGAGCCAAGATTGCACCACTGCCCTCCAGCCTGGGTGATAAGTGAGACTCTCTGTCTCACAAACAAACAAAACCAAGTGGTTTGGCTGAAAGTCTGTATAGAGAGCAATTAAACTCCAAGACCCTGTCCTTCCCTACAAATGGCAATTATCAAGGTCTACCGTCTGGATTTCCCTTTAAGAAAAAGCTTGCCATTCAGCTGGCAAGAGTGCAGTTAGCCAGCAGCTTCCACTTGCAATGCCTTCAGGATCCACCTGGCCGTTTCTAAGTAGCCCCTGGCCAATGGCTGAGCACAACAGGTAACCCAGCCATTTCTGCCCAGGTGGGACTTTTTTTCAGATTTTGCTCTGCAGATCCCTGTTGAGCTGGTAGAGATTCTGAGGCTCACTCTGCCAACCCTCTTCCTCACCCCTTCCTTTTCACAGCTGTCTGATATCCCTTAAAACACAGCTGTCTGATCTACGCTGCAGCCTGAAGATTTCTTCTTCTTTCGTATCTTTCACAAGCATTAACTCCCCATCCTATTAATAAACTGCTAGCACCTCTAATTTGGCCTCAGCCCTACTTCCCAGAGGACCCAAACGTCACAGTCATTTCTAAGAGCGGTCTAACAAAACAGTTGATAAGATGGGTTTAGGCTGGATCACTTTCTGCCTGGCTGGTCATAAGAATACCATCCTGAGAGAGGCAGGGACATAAATAGTCCCTAGCATAAGGTAGTGATGTAGTTGCTAAACCTTTCATAGTGGTGACTCGGGGGAATGTTCCTGGGAAGGGGACCACCCTGCCCTGCTTACTGCAATAATCCAGGCACTTGAAAAGCTCAGGAGAACAAGTCTTACAAGGGCAGTGGAATTGCTGGTCTTTAATAAGTTGTATTGATGCCCTCCAGACGGGTAATGAAAAGCTGAGAACAAGAAATAAGTGACAACTAAGTGTGAGGGCCTTATCATGAGGTGGGAGAACAGAAGAAGCCCAAGACCAAACTCAGGATTTAATAGTTTAAAAGCTGCAGAGGTCTCTAAAGGAATCCACTCGGACAATCTCATCCTTGTGTCAGAGTCCTAGATTTTCCCAACCAGCGCACTAATCTTGGCTGAAGCAAACGTAACAAACCTGCCTCAGCTGGGTCACTGCCCTGGCTGAGATAGTCAATCAAAAACAAAATCACAGCTGGGAGTAGTGATCACATGAGAACTATCACAAAGACAGTGTCAAGAAGCCATGAGGGATTCACCCCCATGACCCAACACTTTAGAATCAAGGCTGAGGCAGGAGGATCACTTGGGTCCCGGAGTTCGAGACCAGCCTGGGCAACACAGTGAGACTCCCCACCGACCCCCTGTCTCAATTTAAAACACAAAATCACACCTTGGAGGAAGTGAAGATGATGCCACCCTTGAAGATCTCAAGGATACAGAGAGGCCCCCACCAAAGCTCCATTTAATTCACCAATCTGGCCACTGCTGGAACTAGGTAGATCCTGGTGAATTACTGCAATCAAAGGCCAGCTCAATTAAGGAGCGGCTCTGCTGTAAAGAAATACCTGTGACTGGGTAATTTACAAGAAAAGAGGTTTAATTGGCTCACAGTTCTGCAGGCTGTACAATCATGGTGCTGATATCCCTTGGCTTCTGGGGAGGACTCAGGGAGCTTTTACCCATGGTGGAAGGCAAATTGGGAGCAGGTACATTACACAGTAAAAGCAGGAGCAAGAGAGAGAGGCAGTGGCGGGGGGTGGGGAGTGGGGGGGGGGAGTAGGTGTCACACACTTTTAAACAACCAGATCTCACAAGGACTTACTATCTTGAAGACAATGTGAAGCATGAGGGGTTCTCCTCCACGACCCAAACACCTCCCACCAGGCCCCATCTGCAGCACTAGGGATTACAATTCAACACGAGATTTGGGCGGGGACAAATATCCAAACTTTTATACCAGGTTCCGATGGCAAACTTACATACCAGCCGCTGTGCTCAAGTGGCATCTTCTTGGCTGAAGTGGATTAGAAGGCCTCTGGAACATAGTATCCAGCCACTGATTTGCTGAATGTGTTCTTTTCCATCTCAACCATGAACGATCAGAAACCGGGAGCATTTGCAGTATCACCTTAGGGCTATGTAAGTTCTGCTCTCCTAAGAGACTCAGGTCTCCTGGACATCCTGTAGAATGTCACACTCATCTATCACATTGATGGCGTCATGCTGATCAGGCAGAATGAGCAAAGGTGGCTGGCACCCTGATGGCCAGAAGATGGGAGATAAAACCTGATGAAGATCAAGGACTTGTGATTTCAGTCACGTTTTTAGGAGTCAAACAATCAAGGTGTGCCAGGACATTCCCTCCAAGTTGAAGTCAAACTGCTTTATCTTATATCCCCTTTCTCAAAGAAGGAAACACAGAGCCTGGCTTTGGGTTCTGGAGGGAAGACATTCCACACTTAGGGGTACTGCTCCAACTTATGTACTGAACGACAGAAAAGGCTGCCAGCTTTGAGGGGTCTGGGGCGGGAAAGAGGTCTGCAGCAGGTCCAAGCTGGGGTGCAAGCATTCCTGCCACTTGGGCTATATGATGTGGTAAACCCTATGGTGCTGGTGGTGTCAGTGGTAGAGACAGATGTAGTGTGGGTTTTATGGTGAGCCCTAGTGGAGAATAACTGTGCAGGTCCCATGGTTACACCTGGGAAAGACCATTTCAGGCTCAGTGGAGAATAATTCCTTTGTAAAATAAATTACTGTGCCATGGTAGACCCAGAATGCTTGACCACAGGACCCCAAATGACCATGCATCTAGAACTGCCCATATGTGCTAAGTGCACTTGGACCCACTGTTAAGGGCTGAAATGTGTCTCCCCCAAATTCTTATGTTGAAGTACTAACCCCTGGTACCTCAGAAAGTGACTATACGTGGAAACAAAGTATTTAAAGAGGTATGTTAAAATGAGATGTTTAAAACACACCCTAATCCATTATGACTGGTGTCCTTATAAGAAGAAAAAATTTAGTCACAGAGTAAAGATCATGTGAGGACAGATGATGGCCATCTGTAAGCCAAGAGAGGCCTCAGAAGAAACCAACCCTGCCAACACCTTGATCCTGACCTTGGACTTCTAGCTTCCAGATCTGTGAGAAAATTAATTTCAGTTGTAGAAGCTACCCAGTCTCTGATATTCTGTTACGGCAGTTCCAGCAGAGTAATGTGCCCACCCACTCAGAGTCAGGTGGAGCCAGCAGCAGTCCACTGGAAGACGGAAACGGCACATCTGGGATCAGGCATGAGCAGAATGGGAGAGCACAAGTAAGTTTTAAGAGCAGGTAGGCCAGACTCCCATGTCACCACCTTAGTTCTTTATACCTGTGGCCATACAGAGGGTCCCATACAACCAACTGAAAGGAGAAGAAAAGCTGATCTTGGTTTACAGATGGATTGGCCTGTTATGTGCGTGCGAGCCAAAACTGGAGGGTGGTTGCCTGAAAGCCATGCAGGGGTGGCCTTCAAAAGAATGTGGAAAAAGAAAACCTTTCCAAGAAAAAAGCTTTGAGTAGTATACCTGCTCATGCACTATGTATGGTAGTGACCTGTGGTGAGAATATCCGTTTAGTCATGAGCAGTAGCCTGGCTAGCTACTTTGGGACTTAGAAGGAAAAAGTCTAGAGGAGCAGGAAACAAGGAAGTAAAGGCTGGAGAAACATGGATAGGCCTATCTATGGGAGAGGATGGCGAGTGTGAAGATCTGTGTATTCCATGTTAACACTCACTAGAAAGCAACCACCATAGCAAGAGGCACTGAACCACCCAGTAGATAAAATGACTTGGTCAGTTAACTTTAGCCAGCTTTCATCATCAGCCACCCCAGAACTACCATGATGGGCACCTGAATGGAACAGGCCTCACTGTACAGATGGTCCCTACTCTTGGGACTCACAGCACGAATTCTCACTTACCATGGCCAATGCAGCTATTGCCACCTGTGAATATCCAACTTGCTGGCAATAGAGACAAATACTGAGCCCCCAATGTGGCACTATTCTTCAAGGAAACCCACCAGCTACCTGGTGGGACATGAGCTCCATTGGGCCCTTTCCACTGTGAAAGGGCCAATAGCTGATTCTCACAATAGACATTTTCTCCGCATGGGTTTGCCTTTCTGCCTGCATAGCCTGTCCAATTTTTGCTTCTTTTCTCTTTTATCATTATAGTCATTACTTTCTCTTAGCATTTGCTTCCTGCAAAACTCAACTGACACACTTGTCTTCCCTCTCTTTCTCTCCTGAAAGGTGAAATTGGAGAAACTGAAGAGGGATGGACTTGGGGATCCCTAAGCACAGTGGGAAGCTGGTATTTAAGGGTATTTTTAAAGTGTAAGACTTTCTAATGAGGAATTATGATGCCTCCATACCAAAATCTGCACCCTTAATAGAGGGTCACCCAGCTTATTTTCCCTTTCTCAACCCAATAGCCAATCAGTTACTTTTTCAAGTCATCTTAAAGTCTTTAGGGCAAAGAAGGATTAAAAATACATAATCAAATTTTTTTTAATTTTTCTACAGCAAAATAAAAACACATTATTTTAAAAAGCAATATTCTACATTAAATACATTAAGATATTGACAATTTTATAAATAAAATCATTTTAAACAGTAAATACATGATAAATTTCTGATACAAGGTTTTACATAGGTTAATTGTGAAAATATAAAAACTTTACATCTTCTCTTAAAAAGCATTCAACGTAATCAATTTTACAAAATTATCAAAAGTTAAAAAGTGCTAGATATGCTTTTATTTTGTTCCATTACTAAGGCAATGATAGTATATCAGATCTTAAAAAAAGAAAAGGTGAATTAGGACATAAGACTCATCCTATATTGCCTAAAAACGAACATTTCAGAGACTTTCTTAGACACTGGGAAAGGCTGGGAAGCTGACTGAGCTCAAAACCAGTGAAGGTTGCCATCCGCCTAGCACCATGACCCCTCATGGTTGTCAGAACCAGGAGACTTCTTCCTGGCTACCCGTGGGGAGTCTTCTACCCCTATTATTTCCTAGTTTCCAGGAGAAAGGGTTTCAGAAAGAATTTTGACATTTAAATTCTATGCCAGTACTGAAACTCTCCCAAAGATTGAGGCATTCTGCATTTGAATATTATACAAAAAGTCATGAATCTAATTTCAAATGAAAAGAGAGCACTTCATTTGGTCACTTAATTTCATACCACTTGTAGAGGTAGGATAATTTTTTTCTTTGACAACTGTCTTGACTATATAAATGGTGATTATACCGGAAAGGGTTCTAATGCCTTTTCTGCATTCTTCCAGTTGTGAAAATTCTCTCTGTACCATTCAACTAATAGGAAAAAACAAAAGACAAAAAAAGAAAAAAACTAAACATCAGTTAACCAACATTTACTGAGTTCCTGCTAGCTAAGTCTTGCCCATCAGCTAAGCAGCAGACAAGGGCTGCCTAATGATGTAAACAATTTGATTTTGAACTTAACAATTAAGTCAATCAGAAGACATTTAAATCACCTAAAAAATTTATAATTAAAAATCAATGATTTTTTTTCTTTTTAACTTCAAAAGTCATTCAATACTGAACTTGTTGGTATAAATATTTAAGACATTCTGATTTTAAGGATTTTGGAGTGTTGGAAATAAGTCATCTGCTCTGATTTTAAGATTATTTTATATAAAAAAGTATAATACAGTGTTTGGTCATATAAACATGATAACACTGCATCAGAGTCACAATGAGTTGATGTGAACTTCCTTGCTTTATTTTTTTTTTTTTTTTAAGAGAATGGGGTCTCGTTGTCACCCAGGCTAGAGTGTAGTGGTGTGATCGTAGCTCACTATAGGCCCAAACTCCTGGGCTCAAGAGATCCACCTACCTCACCTTCCTAAATTGCTAAGACTATAGACATGTGCCACCATGTCCTGCTGATTTTTTTTTACTTTTTGTAGAGATAGGGTCGTGCTATATTTCCCAGGCTGGTCTTGAACTCCTGGCCTCAAGTGATCCTCCCACTTTGGTCTCCAAAGTGCTGGGATTACAGATGTGAGCCACTATGCCCAGCACCTTTCTTCTAGTAATATGTTAAATTATTTTATATTGCTATACTATCAGTAAAAGCTTTTTTAGTTTAAAGAAACCTGATAGTTTTAAATTATTTTTTGTTTTTTAATATTTGACTTAAGTATTTTGTATTTCAAGCTCTGAATCAAAACTTTTTTTTTTTTTATCTGGGTAGAGCTTTTCTTATGAATACATTTCTAAACAGAGCTTTAATATATATACACAGACTTTATAAGCACTTATTTTAATAGATTTTTCTGCACATACTAAATGTATTACCTTTGTTGGTTTCAATATAAAAAGCCTCAAGATACAAAAAAGACTGCAGCTCTATTTCACCAACTCTAAGATGCTACTGACGGATCATTATTTTACATACATGTAAAAAAGAAAAAAGCTACAATAATAAATATAAGACACTAGTGATTATAAAAAGACATACCTTTTAGGAGTGTGAAGAAAGTGAAAAAATATGTACCTCAGAATAAATAATATAGGTGTTTGATTAATGCTAACGAGATATGGGAAGATTGATCAGAAGTTGGTTTATAAAATTCAAGATGCTTAGGAAACACAGGACTATTACCAGAAATAAATGAAATGTGGCAATCTGAAAAGTACAAATGATTCAACACAATATTCCACTGGTTTGTATAATGTTCTGGAAATAAGTTATTTTTCCTTTAAATTTTCCTGACTTGACCCCAAAATGATTAATTGATAACTTACTTGTTTTCTTTATTCCTTCTTTCCAAGGCACTTTAGGTCTCCATCCCAAGCCATGTATTTTTTCTGACTTCATTGGATATCTCATGTCATTGGTAGGTCTTGGAAAACAAAACAGATTTAAAATGATATTGTAGATATATATTTACAAATGTAGATACTAGGAGATATATGTTTATGCACCACAACCCAACTTTTCTCTTGACAAAAAATTCCCAATAGGTTTTCTGCAGAAAGTTTGTAAAATCAAGTATATATTAAAAAAAAAAAAAAAAAAGTCATCCATAATGCCAGGTACCTAACCTTCTCTGTGTCTTATCTTCCTGTTTCAGCCACGATCTAGCTATAAGTGAAATACCTGACACATAAAAAAACTCAACAAATGTTCAATGAACGAATAAACAAATACACAAAACCTTATTAGGACTCATATGCCAGGCTGTGGGTCAGGTATTTAATATACATTATAAATAAATGTTAAAATACTTTCATAAGAAAGATGTTATTATCAGCTGGGCGTAGAGGCTCACGCCTGTAATCCCAGCACTTTGGGAGCCGAGGTGGGCGGATCACGAGGTTGAGATGGAGACAATCTTGGCCAACATGGTGCAACCCCATCTCTACTAAAAATACAAAAGTTAACTGGGCATGGTGTCATAAGTCTGTAGTCCCAGCTACTTGGGAGGCTGAGGAGAACGGTGTGAACCTGGGAAGGTGGAGGTCGCAGTGAGCCAAGATTGCACCACTGCAGTACAGCCTGGCGACAGAGTGAGACTCCGTCTCAAAAAAAAAAAAAAAAAGAAAGAGAGAGATGTTATTATCCCTAGTTCACACTGGAGGTTTGAAACCTCAGACTTGGAAAGGGTCAATAATTTTTTAAGTCACATGGCTAGTAAGTAATAATGCTATACTTAATCTGTATGGTACTTATGATTATGAAAAAAAATGTTTTACCAGAAAATTCAAAAGAGATAAACTAGTTATTGGTCAAGTCCACATATTTTATAATTTTAAAGGTACCTAAGATTTCACAACCTTTCCCCAATGTTTTAACTTGTTACTCACCTATCATTAACATAATCAACCCAATTTTCCATTTCGGACTCTGAATTGGTCTCTTTGATCTGTTAAAATGCAGAAGGCTTTTGAGTCAAATTATAAAATGAGATCAGAGAATAACAATGGTATTTAATGGCTGATTAAAAAGAAAACAACTGCTTCATAGCGGGCAAGACAGCTAAAATGAACATCATTTTAGTAACACTGTCTATATACTAAATTCCATCTGAAGCTCAGATATACACATTGGATTTTGGTTATTATTCAGTCCCTCTTTCTATTAAATGAATTTATAATTGATGTCCCCTAATATATATGGATATTCATAACTACTGATATAATTATTTTATATGTCACTGTTACTTATTTTAAGACACAATTTTATATTTCTGAAAATGAGTTATGTCTTACAATTAGGGACAGTACATTTAATGAATTATTTTTTCCTGAAAAGCTGTTACTAAATAGGTGATAAAACTTAAATTAAGACACATATGGTACACACAATCCATTTCATTTTCTACTTGCTTACTTTTAATTAAGTAAACTGTATGCTTCTGATTTTGACTAAATGGTTACTGCCACTAACAATTTTGAAAATACCACCCTTTTAAAATAGATACATACCAGTTGTATTAGTTCTTTGGCAAGCTGGACAACTGACATTTCAAAATTGGTTCCGATGTTATAAATTTCACCTGGTTTCCCTTTTTTGAGGACAGTGAGAAATGCTTCTACAACATCAGTAGCATAAAGGAAGTTTCTTGTTTGAAGCCCTGACCCATGAATGCAACTAAAGAGATTAAATGAAGTGAAATCATGAAGTGTAAAAAGGTAAAGTTTCCTAAAGCATTGACTGAGTACTACAACTCCAGAGAAGCCACTTCCCATGGGGATCCCAGAATCTTTTACTGAAAATACAAATTCTCATAGCTTTTCTAAATTTTGTTCATATTTCTTAAATAATTTCCAAACCCTCTGAGGGTACTTAGTAGGAAAGTGACAAACATATTAGTGACCCCTGTGAAATGTGTATTCAATTTTATACCATAAGTTCATTTTAAAGAAATATCTACAGTTCTATGAATTAAATAAGTTTTTTGAGAAAGTAAAATTATATAAAAATAGATTTCAAATGTTAATGCTATAATTCAAAGTTCTATGATAGGTTATTAAGATTTGAAATTATCTCAAGTAAATTACAAAAATAAGATACAGATTATTTTAAAAACTATTACACTGGAGAAATGATTCTTAAATTTGGTGGGACATTAAATTTTGTGGCCTTTAAGACTTTATGATATTCAAGAAAGTGTCACCAAATACTCTAACATACCAGAAAAGCATATGGGTAAAAAGGTAATAATAACATACCATTTCCTGTTGTGCTGTAGCAAAGATATAAATTTTGGAATAACCTAAAAGAATATTTAAATATCATTTCAGACTGGAAATTTACTCATTAGTAAGAATCTGAACTCATACCAAGATTAAAAGATTATTAAGAAATATGCATAGGGATTGCTTCTAATTCTTTTTATCAGTTCATTTTAAAACCTACTATAATATTTGATAAGTAAAAGAACTCTTAGTTTGCTATTTCATGAAGACAGGTTACTTGAAGATAAAATGATCTAAATAGTGGAAAAATGCAGAAAGAGTCTTCATCAGACAGTTGGTCTCATCATAAGGCTCACCTTTGTGCTGACTTCATAAAGGCAGACATTTGTATCTTACTTATTGGATTACATATAGCACCTATGCACTAAGTGCTTGAGGAATTTATAGAAAGTAAATTCCAGTGCTCTTGGATTCAAAGAAAACTTAAATTAAGCAAAGTAAATATTAATACCTGCAGGTCATGACATGGCCCTTTCCTTTGGGCAAACAGATCAATGCAACCAGATGGGAAGCAAGAAAACCCAGCTGGGCGCGGTGGCTCACGCCTGTAATCCCAGCACTTTGGGAGGCGGAGGCATGCGGATCACGAGGTCAGGAGATTGAGACCATCCTGGCTAACACAGTGAAACCCCACCTCTACTAAAAATACAAAAACTTAGCTGGGCATGGCGGCGGGCGCCTGTAGTCCCAGCTACTTGGGAGGCTGAGGCAGGAGAATGGCATGAACCTGGGAAGCGGAGCTTGCAGTGAACCGAGATCACGCCACTGCACTCCAGCCTGGGCGTACAACATGGTTCTATTTTTGTAACATCCAAAAAAAAAAAAAAAAAGAAACAAAAAGAAAAGAAAAAAGAAAAACCCAGTCTCCAAATTTAGGACGAGTGGCCAAAGTTATGTAAAATCAGACTTGATGATACAGAACCAACCGCACAGGCATTTTCAGCCTCTAAACTAAATTTTTTTATTCATTACTTCTAGTACTTTCTGGAAGATATTCATGCCTACACCATAAAGATAAGTTGAGGCACAGTTAGCCAGCTGACACTAAGACAGTTAATGTATACAAGCTTCTTGCATCACTAGCTAGCTAGCTTTTGACTTTCTGTATACCCTGACATACTGGTCTGACTGCAAACAAGGAGTCAACTACAGCATGTCAGTAGTGGTAGAAGTATACTACAATGCTTTAAAGTCTTTAAAAGTACAAGGTATTTTCACACATATCATTCTCAATGGATCCTTCAAAATCTCTGCCAAGTGGTGAAGCCAGCTGGTGAGTGTCAGCCAGCTTGAGACTTAAAACTCATCTTCAATCTCTAAGTCTGAAGGAATCTGCAAGAGGTGTTATATAGCATATAAAATTATGTAAAATTTACAACATATTATTTTGACAAATAACTGAAAAGAGGTTATTTCAAATAATGAGAAGTTACAATCACTGAAAAACACCATGAATTAAGAAGTAAAGTTTACCTTTTCTGGATATTGATGTGGTCCATAAACATTACTGCTTCTTGTGATAACAACTGGAAACTTAAAAGAATATTCAACATTAAGGCTTTTGAAAAGGTCTAATAATGATGATTATTTTAAAGACGAGCAGAATTTCAAAATATGGGCACTGTTGCCTAAATAATTCTACACACCTTAAGGTCAAAGGGAAGAGATTTTTTTCTAACGTAAGGTTTCTAGAAAGGAGAGAACAGGATTCAGATAAAGGCAGAGGTTCCAAAAAAAAAGAAGAGGAACATTCTTTTATTAGTACAAGAAGACGAACACAGATGGCACAGGTTTATAAGTCTGATTGACAGCAAAACACTGAAGAAGTTTCTAGCTGATTATTTTAAAGACCACCTCAAGGACTCTTAATTGGCTCTCTTCATTGTACCAATCCCTACAAATAAAAAGAGCTACTATGAAAGTGAAAAGGACCAATGCCACCAGAACCCAAATGGTGAGAGAATCTCTAGGAATTCCAAGCCTTGCCTCTCTGACCCACACCCTAAAAACTCACCAAGAGCAGTGGGAAGCCAAATGTAGGAGATTCAAGGTGAGGATGGGGTAAGGCTCCCATATCGACACTGTCAGAGCCACCAGGGGCAAGTCTACTTCCCATTCATGAGGAGCCACAAAAGCCAAATTATGCAGAGAGAAGCACACGGCAGAAAGGGGATCTGTCCTCCCTCTGTCTTCCTCCACTCATAGGACTCCAACCTCATTCTGACTCTAGCTGTAACACTCTACCTATTACCGAAATAGAAAAACAATGTATATTCAAGTTATTCCTTTAATGATGAACTGAATAAGAAGAGGTAGGTCCTATTTTGTCCACACAGTAGAGGAAATTAGTTTTTAAAATTCCGTAATATGTAAATTTTCTCAATCTATGCCTTCTACTCTAAGCATGCTGCTAAAAGCTGACTTGGGCTGGGCGTGGCTCACGCCTGTAATCCTAGCACTCTGGGAGGCCGAGGTGGGTGGATCACTTGAGGTCAGGAGTTTGAGACCAGCCTGAGTGTCAGATCGAGACTGTCTCCGAAGAATAAATAGAAAACTTAAAAATCTTTAGGAAAAAAAAAAAAAAAGCCCACTTGGAGTTTTAACACTTAGGTCCAAAGGAAAATGTTTCAAGAGTTTCTGCAATCAGGTCTTACCTTATATCGTTCCCAGTAAGACTGTACAAAACATTCAGCAGCTGCTTTAGATGATGCATAAGGATTTGTAGGTTGTTTGGGTGAAGATTCATCGAATTCCTAATTTTAAACATATTTTAAAAATTATGCATATTTTTAGTATAAAAATCAGAGCATATGTTAAAACCTGAAATGTCAATCACCAAATTTTAAAAGCCGCTTCTTAAATCCCATGTGCCTGGTGTTTTCCCAAGGACATGTAGTAGCTTCTTTAATGTGCACAACAATCCTATATAGCAGAGAGAGAGAACGGTAAGTTAAGGGCCCTGAGACAGAAGCGTGTCCAAAGGAATTGCAGGAAGGCTGATATGAGGGGAGAGACCGTGGGAGAGGATGTCAGAGAGCTAGAGGAAGGCCAAAACCTTGAAGGCCACCGTAAAACAATGACTGATTTTTGAGCAGAGTAATGCCAGGTCTGACTTACATTTTAAAAATCACTCTGGTTACTGTGTCGGATCTGATGTAGGGTGGCAGGGTGCATGAACAAAGAAGTTTACCTGATAACAACTGCAGAGAATTGAAAAACAGTTACTTCTTGGAAGCAGAATTGAGAACTGAGAAGTGGTCAAGGTCTACTTTTTCTCACTGTCAGTCTTTTTGGACTATTTGATTTTCACTGTGTATGTATCTTGGTAAAATAAGTAAATTCATAAATAATAAACAAAATGAGGTCACTGCAGACACCAACTATAAAAATTATAGATTGGACAATGGAGTTTCCTTTGCATAAAAAGTACAATATTTATGCATGATTTATTTTAAAAAATAGATTCTAAGTCTGGACACAGTGGCTCACATCTATAATCCCAACACTTTGGGAGGCCAAGGCAGGCGAATCACCTGAAGTTGGGAGTTCGAGACCAGCCTGACCAACATGGAGAAACCCCATCTCTACTAAAAATACAAAATTAGCCGAGCATGGTGGTGCATGCCTGTAATCCCAGCTACTTGGGAGGCTGAGGCAGGAGAATCACTTGAACCCGGGAGATGGAGATTGCAGCGAGCCAAGATTGCATCATTGCACTCCAGCCTGGGCAACAAGAGCGCAACTCCCATCTCAAAAAAAAAAAAAAAAAAGATTTTGGTTTTTACAAGAATTTTACACTGTCTCCTTGACATTCCAATATGACTGAAAGGGAAAGATATGACTGAAAGGGAAAGATGAACAGGTAGTATGCTGCAGTGTAACTTATGCTTTGGTCCATGGAATGACATTCATCATATGTGTAAGAGTGGGACAAAAAGGTGAGATCTGCAATTCTCTTGCAAAATTACAAATAAATCAACCTAAAGAGATTTCTGGGGCATGAAAAAATAAATAAGTAAGTCTCTACCAAGACTAGGCTGTTGTTCCCCATTTGGGGCAGTATCACTTGATCTGAACAGAGGAGACAATGCAATAACATTCTGTGATGGTTAACACTGTCAACTTGATTGGATTGAGGGATACAAAGTATTAATCCTAGGTGTGTCTGTGAGGGTGTTGTCAAGGGAGATTAACATTTGAGTTACTGGGCTGGGAAAGGCAGAGCCACCCTCAATCTGAGTGGGCACCATCTAAGCAGCTGCCAGTGTGGCTAGAATATAAAGCAGATAGAAAAACATGAATAGACTACCCTGGCCTAGCCTCCCAGCCTACATCTTTCTCCCATGCTGGATGCTTCCTGCCCTCGAACATCTGACTCCAGGTTCTTCAACTGTGGGACTCAGACTGGCTCTCCTTGCTCCTCAGCTTGCAAATGGCCTGTTGTGGGACCTTGTGATCGTGTGAGTTAATACTTAATAAATACCCCTTTATATATCTGCCTATTCTATCAGTTCTGTCCCTCTACAGAATCCTAAAACACTTTGAAGAGTGTTACAAGTGTATATAATTTGAGGATGAAAAAAGCCCAGTGTAGGTTTAATAAAACTGTATCATGGTACATGGTGAAGCAGATAAAATACACATTTTCTAAGCTCACCTTATCAAGACTGCCACCATATACTTCATCTGTGCTGACGTAAATAAACTTCTCCACTCTGGCTTCATGAGCAGCACTTACCAAAACGTGAGTGCCATAAACATTAACATAGGTAAACTCAAAGGCACGTACGAATGAAAGATCTAAAAAAAAAGAGTGAAAAGCTAAAACAAGTCTATCCAATGGATAAAACAAATGCCAAACGATGGCTTCAGGTTTAAGGAGGGTACTATTCACGTCTCTTCATTTACCACAGCTGCAACAGTTATAGTAATAACATACACAGGCAGTGATATTTATGACTTCTTTAAACCTAAATTACATAGTACATGCAAATTCTTAGAACCCAGAAAACTATCAGTGTTAAATTTGCAGGAAAGTTTTTTATTCTATAAGGAAGAAAATTTAAAAATAATTCACCGAAATTTAAAACGTTCTTAAATTTAAAAATTATGAATTACAGGGCTAGGCTTTTTAAGATCAATCTGTTACTGCTGAAAGCAATAAATGTTGAATGAGTTATTTAAAAATAAATTCACCTTAAAAGAACTGAACCTCTATAACCAGGAAATGGAAGGAACTTCCTTAACGATGAATCACAATCCAGAAGCAATAATGGAAGAGACGGATAAATTTGACCGCATAAAAATTTTGCATGGTTAAAAAACTAAAAACAAATTAAAAAGACAAAAATGACAAACTGGGAAAAACCATGTGAAATTACAGAGATAAAGGGTTAAGTATCGTCAACTTATAAAGAACTTTAAATAAATAAGAACAATCCTACAGTAAAACAGGTAGGAGACATAAACAGTTTAGATGAAGAAATACAAATGAGTCCTTAAGATTATGATGATCAACCTCACATACAATTAAAAAAACCCAAATTAAAAACTCAGAGATACCACTTCTTATCAGACTGGCAAAAATTCAAAAATTTGACAAATCACTTATTTGTTGAGGCTGTTAGACAAAAGATACTTTGTACACTGACAATAACAATGTAAAATGTTTACAATCCCTAAGGAAGGAAACTTGGAAATATCCAGTCAAATTACATAGGCATTTCCCTCTAATCCAGAGTTATGGGCTAAACTGTGTTCTCCCCATAATTCATCTTAAGGTCCAACCCTTTCCCCCAGAACCTCAGAATGTGGCTATATTTGGAGATAGGGCTCTTAAGGAGGTGATTAAGTGAAAATCAGGTCTTTAGGATGGGTCCTAATCCAATCTACCTGGTGTCCTTAAAAGAAGAAATGTGGACTCATTGTGTGTTCTGGAATAAAGTAAATAAGTAATTAGGGTGGTGCTGTTGAGAACCAAGGTGTTCAAGGTAAGGAAAAGATGATATAAATGAAAGACTGATGAACTTAAACAAAAACTCTGAATCTGAATTGGACATTTCAGTATAAACCCATGTCACATTTAATCTTAATAGGCAAATAATACTCCCTAGTTTTGTTAACTGAAAAAGCCTTGAAACAATGTCCAGTTAATAAGCACTCCCAGGGCCCAGATTGTGGCCTCTAAACACCATTTCCCACGAAAAGGAACAATGGCTCCTGAGACAAAGAGCTGATTCCAGATCTTGGGGGGAAAAATATTGAAGATAAAACTGAAACATCCTATCAAACCAGAAAGTTAGATGGCTGTCAAAGACTGCTAAGGTCATGTCAAAAAGGACTCAGGAAGCAACTAGAAGAGCCTCTCAATGGCTAATGGTGAGTCATTTTGAACATAAATAAGAAAAATAACTGCAAGTGATTAAAACAAAAAAAAATCAAATGTGTTAAAATCTACAAATTCATAACGATACTAAAAAAAAGAAAAAAGAAAAAGGAGGATGCTTGGAAACCAACTCATTATAGTAAAATCTACTAAATAAATAAAAACAATCAGGTATTTAACCTGGCTTTTCTATAACAATTAAATATCAAGGTAAGCAAATAATTTATAAGAAAAACTTTTTCTCTCTCTCTCTCTCTCTCTCTTTGTTGCCCAGGCTGGAGTGTAGTGGCACAATCTCAGTTCACTGCAAACTCTGGCTCCCAGGTTCAAGCGATTCTTGTGTCTCAGCCTCCTGAGTAGCTGGGGTAACAGGTGCCCACTACCACGCCCAGCTAATGTTTTTGTATTTTTGAGACGGGGTTTCACCATGTTGGCTAGGCTGGTCTTGAACTCCTGACCTCAGGTAATCCATCCATCTCAGCCTCCCAAAGTGTTGGGATTACAGGCGTGAGCCACTGCGCCTGGCTGGAAAACTTGTTTTTATGTAGATATTACAGGTATAAATGAAGAATGACATAATTAGAATATCATTTTGTAAACCCCTAATATAATGACTACTGACTATATAAAGTAGTAATAATGACATCTAGTGGGAATAAAAAAATAAGATCAATTTAAAATTCCAGGCTGGACATGGTGGCTAATGCCTGTAATCCCAGCATTTTGGGAGGCCCAGGTGGGTGGATCACCTGAGGTCAGGAGTTTGAGACCAGTCTGGCCAATATGGCAAAACCCTATCTCTACTAAAAATACAAAAAATAAGCCAGGCGTGGTGGCACATGCCTGTAATCTCAGCTACCTGGGAGGCTGAGGCATGAGAACTGCTTGAACCTGGGAGGCAGAGGTTGCAGTGAGCTGAGATCACAATACTGTGCTCCAGCCTGGGTGACAGAACAAGACTCTGCCTTAAAAAACAAAACAAAACAAAAAAACAGATAAAAACAGAGTTAAAAATAGCTAAAAATGGAGTTGGAAATTAAATGGGAAGAGGACAAAGGTTTTGATGAACTTTACACTTTGATAAGCTAATTACACATCTGCAATTTGTAGGGTAACCACTCCAAGAGTACCAACAGAACATATAATTTCCAAACTAGTAGAGGGAGAAAAAGAGAATAAGAAAAATTCCTCAGTCAAGTCCTTAAAAAAAGTAAGCAAGAATTTTTAAAAAATAAACAATTTTTACAAAGGAAGAATTCTTTTTTTTTTTAAAAAAAGTAAGCAGCAACCAAGGAAACAGAACAGGTGAGAAAAGAAAGCACACAGTAAGATGGTAGGAATAAATCCAAATATAGCAACAAACTAAACACTGAGGGTAAATATCAAGGATGGTCAGAATGGGTTTAAAAAAAATCAAAATCCAAATACATGTTGTTTACAAGACATGCAGCTAACCTGTAAAGCTAGAGAAATAAAAAGATGGAAAAAGTATCATGAAAATACTAACCAAAAAGGAAGTAACACAGCTATATTAATGTCAAACAAAACAGATTTTAAAGCAGTACACATCACCAGGGGAAAGAGATCACTTCATAAGGATAAAAGGTTCAATTCACCAGAAATACACAAGAGATTTAAAGAACATCATTAACCAACTTAACCTAATGGATGTGTAAAGAACAATGAACCCAATGTTTGCAAATTAACATTTTTTTCAATACATATACAAGTTACAGAAAGTGACCATATACTGAGCCAAAAAGCAAGTTGTAGCACAAAGGACTACAATCATAGAGTATGTTATCTAATCATATACATTTAAGCTAGAATTCAATAAGAAAAAGAAAATCCATACATGTTTGGAAATTAAGACATACATGTCTAAGTAACCCATGGATTAAAGAATAAATCAACTTCTTTTTTTCTTTTTTTTCTTTTTTGAGACAAGGTCTCATTCTGTTGCCCAGGCTGGAATGCAGGGGTGCAATCTCAGCTCACTGCAACCTCGCCTCTTGGGCTCAAGAGATCTTCTCACCTCAGCCTCCCAAGTAGCTGGGACTACAGGCACACACCATCATGCCGGGTTTTATTTTTTATTATTATTTTTTGTAGAGACAGGGTCTCACCATGTTGCCCAGGCTGGTCTGGAACTCCTGGGCTCAAGTGATTCGCCTGCCTTGGCCTCTCAAAGTGCTAGGATTACAGGTGTTAGCCACCGCAGCCAGCAAGAAATCAAACTCTTAAGAATAAAAGATAAGGAAAAAATACATATGAAAATCTGTGGGATTCAGATAAAGCAGTATTTAGAAGTAAATTCATAGTCTAAAATGTATACATTAGAGAAAAGGTGAAAATTAAATTAATAAGCTAAATATATCACAAAGATTAGAAAAAAGAATAGAAAGTAAGCCTAAACAAAGCACAAATAATGAAATAATAAAGGTAAGACCAGAAATTCATTATATAGAAAACAAACCATGCATAAGAAAAGATCAACTATATCAAAGATTGTTTTTTTGGAACAACAATGTCAAATGTCAAATGTTGTTTTTTGGAACAACAGGGTGGGAGGTTTGCTTTGCTGGTATAAAGAATTATTATAAAGCTACAGTAATTAAGATGGTGTGATAATAGTATAAGCACAGACAAAGACCAACGGAATTGAACAGAGCCGAGAAATAGAAGCATACATATAAAAACACTTGACCCATGACAAAAGAGACAATGAGGAAGAGTCAAGTCTTTTCAATAAATGATTTTGAGTCAAATTGATATGGATATGGGGAAGAAGTCTAAATGTAAAAGGAAAACCAGTAACTTTTAAGAAAAGAATTATAAGACAACATGTCCATGACCTTGGAGGTAGGAAACGAGTTCTAAATCAAGACACAAAGAGCACTAACCCTAACGAAAAAGGTACAGATAATTTAACCCACATTGAAATTAAGAACTTTCACTAATAATAAGATACCATTAAAAATGGGAAAAGGCCGGGCGTGGTGGCTCACACCTGTAACCCCAGCACTTTGGGAGGCTGAGGTGGGTGCATCACCTGAGTAGGGTGGATCATCTGAGGTTGGGAGTTCGAGACCAGCCTGGCCAACGTGGTGAAACCCCATTTCTACCAAAAATACAAAATTAGCCAGGCGTGGTGGCGCATGCCTGTAATCCCAGCTACTCGGGAGGCTGAGGCAAGAGAATCGCTTGAATCCAGGAGGCAGAGGTTGCAGTAAGCCGAGATGGTGCCATTGCACTCCAGCCTGGGCAATGAGTGAGACTCGGTCTCAAAAAAAAAAAAAAAAAAAAAAGAATGTAGCTGCAAAAGGCTTGAATCCAAAATACATAAAATCTGTAAGGAAAAAACTGACAACCTAATACGAAATGGTCACGAAACTTAAATAGAAATTTTTCCAAAGAGGATATCCTAATAAGAAAGAGAGGGAGAATAGTCCAATGAACAAATGAAAAGGTTTTTAACTTCATCAGGAAAACTAAAACCACAAAACTGACACAGCAAGTGTTCGCAAGTGTCTCATAAATTGCTGGTAGAAGTGCACAACTGCTTTTATCATTAACCAAGTAGAAAGATTTGCTTTAACAGACATGAAATCATTGTATTCGTCAATATAGTGCGTATCAGACAGGCAGAGACAAATGAAGAGAGACAGAGATACAAAAATAAACTTGATATGACAGAGGGTAGGAACTGGTAAACTTTTCAGTAAATGGTACAGGAACAATTGGTATTCACATGGAAAAACATGAAATTGGTGTTATATAAGAATTAATTTCACATGGATTACAAATATAATTGTAAAAGACAAAATTATAAAGCTTTGAAAAGATAATATAGAAAAATATATCTTCATGACCTCGGGGTAGGAGAGAATTTAAGAACTGAAAAAGCAGTAAGCATAAAGGAAAAAACACACATTCACTACACTGACATTGAAAACGTCTGTTCATCAAAACACACTATCAAAAAAGTGAGAAGATAGGCCATACAGAGTAGAAGGCATCCGTAACATACAGAATGACAAAGAACTAGTGTACTGAATATATAAAAACTCTACTTGCCATTTTTTCTTATTGAAACTTCTCTTTCAATGAGAAAAAGGTAAACAATCCCATTTTAAAATGGACAAAAGATTGCAACAGCATTTCACAAAGGAGAAATCCAAATTACAAAAAACCATATGAAAAGTACTTAATCTTATTAGTAATCAGGGAAACTACAAATTAGAAACATGAGACACCACTACACAGCACTGAAACTGGCAAAAATGGAAAGACTGACAAAACTAAGCTTTGGTGAGATCTGGAGCAACAGGAAGTCACATACTTCTGGAGGAGTGGAAGTTGGTATAATTACTTTGGAACATGGTTTGACATTATCTCAACGTGAAATATGCAGATCTTATTATCTCAGTTATATAGCCAAATGTAATGTATATTTATGTATCATGATACATGTTCAAGGTAGTAGTGTTCAAAGTTGCTCCAAAGTGTAAAGAACCCAAATGGCCATTAAGAATAAAGTATATTAAGTAAACTACGGTGTATATATATATATATTTTAGACTGGAATGACACTGAAAACAAACTATATCTATATCCGCCTCCATGGATGAATCTACACGGATTCTGAAAAAACAAAAAAAAGTCATTATATATATACGTATATATATATTTATATATACGTATATATATATTTATATATACGTATATATACACACAACAGCAAAAGTGTAGAGAAAAGCAAAGGAAATTACAACTTTAAATCTCATAATAGGTAGCAGTAGTACTTACTACTGAAGAGGATTCAGCAACATTCTGCCTTTTGTTCAGGTGACAGATACATGAGTGCTCACGTTATCATTATTTGACTGTATTTCTAAACGCTTTCAAATATATTTCATAATAAAACTGTCAAGTTATTAGAAAATATCTAAAATTCACAAAATGATAGAAATAATGTTCATCTGCATACCACAACAAAATTTAAGAAAAACAACGTAAAAAATACAGTTGATGGCCCATCTCCCCATTGCTCCCCTTTACTATCCTGAATTGGTTCAACTCAAGTTTTCAGATAGCATTCAAGGTTATATTTCACTAATACAGCCTTGCAATGCTAATAAAAGTATCTAAAAAGTGCTGAGTTTATTGATGACACAGTGGCTGTTTTTCTAGTACAGTATGATATATCCTCTTTCAAATATAAGTATTATTAAGTATGTGGGTGGGGGCAGTGGGGCAGGGGCCGGGAGAGAACTGCCAATCATAACTGTAACATAAAACAATGCTTACCTACATGTGTTTGCGCAGCAAAATGTAGTACTATATCTATTTTTTCTGTTTCAAAAAGCAGTTTCACAAAGTGAGAATCACATATGTCACCCTATATGAAAAAGCAAACATGAAAGGGTTAGGTTTCATTGCGCACTCTCATTCATAATCATTTTTACTATAACATCCCCCTACCTCCCACCTTCCTGTTTAATAGAGAATGTTTTGAAAATTCAACTAAGTGCTCAAACAAGTATACCAATGATGTATTTCTCCAGCATCTTAGGATATTAGATATTCAATTCAAATTATTTTTCCAAATAATATTTTAATGAGCACCAACAACTACTAAGTACCATGCTACTGTTGTCCACAATATTTTTGCCAACCCAAGGCCACTATATTAAGAGAAAACTTTTTTTAGCATTTTTAAAAAAATCTTTGAGATAACCATTATTAAAATATATCTTAGGCAGGGTGCAGTGGCTCACGCTTGTAATCCCAGCACTTTGGGAAGTTGAGATGGGCGGATCACTTGAGGTCCAGAGTTTGAGACCAGCCTGGCCAACATGGTGAAACTCTGTCTCTACTAAAAATATGAAAATTAGCTAGGCATGGTAGCGGGTGCCTGTAATCCCAGCTAGTAGGGAGGCTGAAGCAAGAGAATTGCTTGAACCCAGGAGGCAGGGGTCGCAGGGAGCCGAGATCATGCCACTGCACTCCAGCCTGGGCAAGAGAGCGAGACTCTGTCTCAAAAAAATATAGTGTAACAACTGGAATCATATTTTGAAAACACATTTTATCACAATTAAGTAAAATTATGGTACTTCTAACGTTTACATGTACATTTAATTCTTCTAAAAATATGTATTCTTGACAATTCGTCAATAGCTGAAGAAAATACTTTCACACAGAATTATGAAATGGTTGTTAGTATATTAAGTTTTGTAGTTAAAAAGAGAGTTTATAGCATAACTTTAAAAAACAATATATCATAAGTTAAATAGTTTCATTTGACAATAACATTTCCCTTTGCAAATTATTGAACTGGTCTTGTGGTTTATACTTTGGATTTGTCTAAAAATGAGACTTCCAGAGTCAATCAACCTTCATAGGGAAAGACTAGGGAGGAACTAAAATACAAACCATGTAAATTCAGTCAGCTACTGGTAGATCTGCTAAGGTACCAAAAATCATATGTAGCTTTGTATGTGTTGTCAATCAAAACTAGTATCCTCTAAAGCACATGGTACTTTTGGAAATTAACTATCTGATCTTTTAAAAGGCCTTTAATTAGTGTTCCTTTCAAGCTCATATTACACAGGTTTGTAAAGTACAAAGATACTATAATCCCTGCATGACTAAAGAGTCACAGTACAATTACATGAAAATGTTCATACCTGTATAAATTTGTAGTTCTGTTTGTTAGAAATGGTTTCAAGATTCTTCAAGCTTGCACAGTAATCCAACTTGAAAGAAGAGAGCACAGAAGGGGCAATACAAAAAGTGACATTAGCTTTTCCAATCAAATACCAATTTATTTTAGACTATAGACGTTAATGGTTATAATACAAGACTATGTCCTCTTAAAGTGTGTTTGCTCCCTGGTTTGACACTCTTTTCCGCCCCCGCCGGGAGGTGGAGGTTGCAGTAAAGCTGAGATTGCGTCACTACAACCCAGGCCTGGTGACAGAGCAAGACTCCATTCTCAAAACAAACACACAAAAAAAATGTTTCTGCCAAAATTTGCCTTGTAGTCACTGGTGGCTAGAAAAGTTTACCATTTCTTACAGAAAAGGAATTAAGTCGGATTGAAAAATATTAACAACCTGTGTTACACACATATTAGATTATTATACCTATTCCTCAAAACTGTGGTAATATTGGTGATATAGAAGAAAAATTTGGTCCATAGATAGCAAGTCAGGCAAAGCTTTCATAACAAGGTGAAACCCGTCCTCTACGTAAAAAAAGAAAAATAGCAAAAAAACCGCGCGAAATGTGGCGGGCGGCCTGTAGTCCCAGGCTACTTGGGGAGGCTGAGGCAGAGAATGGCGTGAAACCCGGGACGGACGGAGCTCTTGCAGTTGCGAGCTGAGGATCCGGCCCACTGCACTCCAGGCCTGGGGCGGACAAGAGCGGAGACTCGTCC